GTGAGTCAATTATCCCGAGTTTTGAAGGCTGCGGATGGCCATATTTCTCAATTCATTAAAAAAAGTATTACTTGTTCAAAGTAACAACTTAGAATTTGTTAATTGATGTTTAGACGAAAACAGATATGTCGTTAGTCTTAAGTTGGTTAGCCCCTTACTTAAAAGTTTCATCAAAACACCCCCCAATTTGATATTACTAATGTATACTATATATAGCTTCTATGGAAAATATTTCCCACTGCCAACCAAACAAGGAAAATAGTATTTCTAGTCATACCAAACACACACTAATGCTCTTTCCTTTTACAATGTTGAAGCTCTTGTGGCCTTGTGAACTCATTGACTTTTAACAAGGCAAGCTACTCGGTAGCATGTGATATTTGTTTGATTTGACTAGGGTTTAAATTGTTCAAAAGGATTGCAATGAGTTAATTTTTCTCCATCTTATTATGTTCCTCAGGTTCCAGGTGAAAAAGAAATCATTTTTCCGCAATTTCAGCACTATCATGCTTTTTGGGGCAGTTGGCACCTTGATATCATTCATTATCATATCATTCGGTGTGTATTTCTATCCTTTCCATCCTTTGTTTTTGTTTTCCCGTATAGGAAGTTTCATAGCATTTATTACACTCATGATTCACCCATTAGTAATAATGTCTATTTTCATGATCAGGTGCTACTAGCATTTTCAAGAAATGGAATATTGGAAACCTTGAAATTGGAGATTACCTTGGTACTTCCTGCTGTTTCCTCTGTGTTATTTATTTTCAAAACTGTGATTGATAACTTCTTTGCATGTTTCTCATCTATCTCTATTCGTTTCCAGCTATTGGAGCAATCTTCTCTGCAACAGATTCTGTTTGCACCTTACAAGTCAGTATAAATCGTACTTACTTAATAAAAAAGCTACAAAGTCGTAGCATTTTAGGCTGGTCAGACTTGCTGCTCTCTTACTGATCAGGCATATTCTATTTGGAAAATATGTAGGTGCTTAGTCAGGATGAAACACCCTTACTGTACAGTCTAGTTTTTGGGGAAGGTGTTGTGAATGATGCCACATCTGTAGTTCTGTTCAATGCTGTCCAGAACTTTGACTTATCTCATATCAACACAAGCAAAGCTCTGGAATTAGTTGGAAACTTTCTGTACTTGTTTGCGTCGAGCACCATCTTAGGGGTTGCTGTGAGTCTCTCTCTCTCTCTCTCCGCACATGCTTGTGTATCCTTATTTGTGATTTTTTTTGTGCGCGTGCGCGTTGCACCAGTGACACAAGACTGACATTAAACATTTCCCTGGTGCAGACTGGTCTACTGAGCGCCTATATAATTAAAAAACTCTACTTTGGAAGGTTCGTATATATTTGCTTTCACAAATAAACGTCCTTTTGAATGCTCTCTTAGGTTAGTTGCAACAGATAAATATTTGGATATATATATATTAATCCTGAAGTTGGTAAATTGGTTTTGTGCAAAAGACTACTCAAGAAAATGGACTGCCGGTGTCTTCTTAGAAATTTTTGTTCTCTTAGATTGCACAATTTTAAGCTTACATGATAGATAAGAAAGATGTCTCTTCATTAAGGACTTGGATTACTTACTTCTTGATGATCTCCAGGCACTCCACTGACCGTGAGGTTGCGATAGTGATACTTATGGCTTACCTATCATACATGCTTGCTGAAGTAAGTTTCTCGACTAAGTAGCTGGTTAACATTTTTTCCTTTCGAAAAGAAAATTAATCACTTCCTTTCTGGGAAATATTTATCTTTCTATAAAGTTTTCACACTGAAAGTTTGAAACTATGTTGATTGCAGTTATTCTATTTAAGTGCAATCCTCACTGTGTTTTTCTCTGGGATTGTGATGTCTCACTACACCTGGCATAATGTGACTGAGAGCTCAAGAGTCACCACCAAGTATGTTTGTACAACTTTTGGAACACTACTGATGGAGTGTGTTCAATTGCTCCTATTTCTGCCCATAAGATGGTTTAATCCTAACATATCATCTTCACCTGTTTCTCAGGCACGCTTTTGCTACATTATCATTTATTGCTGAAATATTCATATTCCTTTATGTTGGTATGGATGCTTTGGACATGGAGAAGTGGAGATTTGTAAGCGACAGGTGAATTTCGATATCATTGAAGTTGATCATTTACTATTGATTATATGTAAGTGGAAAAAGACTTACATGATTGATGGTTTTTTGTTTCAACTCTATTTGCAGCCCACAATTATCACTTCAGGTTAGCTCCATACTGTTGGGTCTTGTTTTGGTTGGAAGGGCAGCATTTGTTTTCCCCCTGTCATTTTTGTCCAACTTGATGAAGAAGTCTCCGGAGGAGAGGATTAGCTTTAACCAGCAAGTATGTGCTAATAACCTGTTAGTTACTGTAAAAGTCCTTCAAATCATATGGCCTCTCGTTATATCCCTTTGCTGATTTTGCAGATTATAATATGGTGGGCTGGACTTATGCGAGGTGCTGTTTCAATGGCTCTTGCTTATAATCAGGTAAAATACTAGTATCTGATATTACTCTGGTATCAAATTTCATGGATTATTTTTGCACGTTGCATATAGTCTTGAGATTTTTTTTTGACTGATTCCTTAATTTCATGCTTGCAGTTTACCAGGGGAGGCCATACTCAGTTACGTGCCAATGCCATAATGATCACAAGTACTATCACTGTTGTCCTTTTCAGCACAGGGGTAAGATATCTTAACTTTTTTTTTGATAAGATAAGTGGTATTAATAACAGCATCAGGAAGATGCAAAATTTACAAGATATGGCATTTGAGCTTACAAAAAAATCTCTGGCTAACTATACAAACTATCTAAGCCAGAGCTAATGAGTTAGTAAAATCCTGAAGTTGTTCTGCATTAACAGCAGGATACAAGTTGGTCCAACTAAACAAATTTTCAGTGCACCTAGTCTTCAAAATGCCTAATATTCCTCTAGCACTTGTCTGATACTTCTCAACTCGTGATAGATTTATAAATAACTTTCCAAAATTCATGTGTTTGACTGGTTATGCATGTAGCAAAAATCCTTGGAACCAAAGCCATTTAGTTGAGCCCCTAATTCTGTTTTTGTCCTTTACAGGTTTTCGGGTTGATGACAAAACCTTTAATTAGATTACTACAACCCTCACCAAAACACTTGAGCAGAATGATCTCTTCTGAACCGACGACCCCAAAATCCTTCATTGTGCCACTTCTTGAAAGTACACAAGACTCAGAAGCTGATCTGGGCCCAAATGTACCCCGTCCCCACAGTCTGCGGATGCTCCTATCAACACCATCTCACACTGTGCATCGTTACTGGAGAAAATTTGACAATGCATTCATGCGTCCCGTTTTCGGTGGACGAGGTTTTGTACCTTTTGTTCCAGGATCACCAACTGAACCAAGTGGTCATTAATTGCATTGCTGGATATGCAGATTACAGAAAATCATTTGTGTCTTGGGAGGGGGAGGGAAGATGGCAGTTTTTCGGTTTGAGGTTTTGCTTACTGTTAATAGCTTTTGGGTGTTGCTATGTGGTTAAAAAGGGCTTGTCTAGTTTTTAGATATATTCATTTTTCAGCTGAGTGCTGGCTTTTGGTCATTGCTGACAATTTCTATCTGAATTCCTTGGTTTTCTTTTTTGGTTAGTAATTTATCAGAACACCAAATAGGTGTGGGCATTAGCTACATAAATTATCTTGTAAAATCCTTCTACAGGTTAGAGTTTGGTTCATCATATGTAGAATTCACAATGGATGGTTGTAACATTCTCATTGCTCAGTAAAGTTGCTTAGATACACATTCCTTGGAAATTTCTTGGTTAATTAAGTTATTAATGTCGTGGATGAGTTTTTTCTTTAATTATATCCCTTCCTTATACCACTTAGCGCGCATCTGATACAAACTCTTCAGCTGAAATTTTAGATTCATACAATTTTAATTCAATGACTGAAACTAATGATGCAATCAAAGATGTTGGAATATGATCGCATGCAGAAATTCCAGAAAAAATATAGTCCAGTGAGGATAATGAAGTGTTGTAACACAATTATTCACAAATTTCAATTCAAGATTATACAATAAAAAATGTAACCAGATAAACATTAGTATATTATATATGAAATTTTTGTAACATGCAAAGTTGTTGAAACAAAAACAGCGTACACACTAAGAAAAATACAACGTGACGTGTTGAACTTGAATGATTATGAAAGTATTATAACATGCACATTGAATGCTGTTGGTTAGTTATTTTGAATTCAAAATCAGATGATTAATAGATATCTTAAATAGCAACACTATGCTTATTTAATAAATGTTAAACTTCATTTTTAACTATTTATTAAGTTTAAGTTATATAATAACTTGTCTTCGATTGTGTAGGATATATTGTCACTGCTATACAGTTGTAGATTCGGGAAATAACTCATCATGACAACGATTTTTTGGATTTTAAATAAATGATGAGTGAAGTATTCAGATAAGCATGAGAGCACTATTAGAGCAATTTCAACCGTTTATAATGAAATTTCTCATTTTGTATATATGCATTTAACATTTATGAAAAACATAATGATAAATTTTGAGAAAAGTTAGTATAATTTGTTCTACCAATACCAAGAGCTTGCACATAGTTGAAATATAATAAAACATGAAAAAGATTGAAAAAATAGATATGGCCGTTGGGGAACTTTGAAAGTGCAATAAATAAGGTAGATTTAATAAAAGAAGATCGTGTAAGGGCGAAGTAGGAGAGAGAATAGTGAAGAAACATGGGAGAAAAAATTTAGAAGAGAAAGTGGATTGATTTGGAGTGAAGGCATAATTTATGGAGATAATTAAAAACTCTATTTAAGCTAATTTTACTAGTGATATATCTATCTGATACAAAATTAGTAGTATTAAATAGTGAAAGAATAGATAATTGATAGTAGTTATTTTATAGTGTAAGTTAAATTATTAATAAATAGGGATAATTGTACATAATGACAAACTATTAATGTAAAATAAATACAGTAGCTATCGTTTCATTTATTTCCTTTAAGGAGCAAAGTCTCGGTTAGTTTGCTATTAATGGGCCCCACCGATTTGTATAAGTAAAAAAAAAAGTTGACGTTATTCTCTTCCTTTTATACAATATCTTCTTCTCGTTTATATCTCTTATTTCCTTCAATTTCTCCCAAATTTTCTCCCCAAAATTAGTTTGAAATTTCAAATCTCCACCAGCACGTTCTCAATCGCGGTTTCAAAATCCCTTCAAAAATTTCAGGTACCGCCAAAACTTATCTCAATCGATTAGTTTAAATATTTGTCTATTTTTTTCAGTTTTTTCAAGCTATTTTTCACATCAGTTCATAATCCATACAGAGTTTTCCTTCAAACAATGGATGCCCAGTCTCCATCTAAAAGATTCACAAGAGGTATACCCTTGCATGTCGAAAATAGTGTTGAACGCCCATCTTTTTGCTTGGGTTTAACTCAGGATTTTGGGGAGGTTGCAGGTTCAATGTCCAAATCCAACGCAATGCAAGAGATCAAATCCAAATTGAAAAATAATCCAATCAGATTGGAGGAATTGAGTGCAAAATCGAAGCAATCCAACATCAAAATTATGGAGGGAAGTAAGAAAGATTAGTCTGCTACTGGGTCAAGTAAAAAAAGGAAAGAAAAAATAACTAATTATACAGAAGAGAATGCAAAAAGAAAGGAAGTTGTTGTTTCTGGCTTATTGGAGCATGATGAGGTATTTGTATAATCATTATTTTTGTATATGTTACGATTTTATATTTTTCTTATATTTTTATGTGTTGATTCATGTCTTATAACTGTTTGTTTATACAGTTTTATATAGTCACTATGTTAATATCCAAAGTTAAATGTATAAAATAGAACCATTTAACTATACATACGCTATTTAACTATACATACAAGGTAAACAATTATACATTTGAAATTGGTTGTATAATGTATAATATATATACAGTATAAACATTTATACAGTTTTGTGCATTGTTTTATGTATAAATTTTTTCATTTGTATAAGGATACTTCTTTGTATAATGTTCCTTTAGACATATACAATTCCACAAACTTATACACATACATAAATGGTTTGTATTTCACTATACATACAATGTAAACAATTATACATTTGAATTTATTTGTATAAGTATAATATCAATAGTTATTGTATTCGTAGCGGTACAACAATTTATCTATATATACAATATAAGCATTTATACCCACAAATATTGAAGTAATGAAAGTGTTAGCTACAAAGCTTACTAGTTCACAGTATAAAGAATTTTGTGGAACAACATGTTTTGCCCAATTATCTAGCATTCGTAGGTGTCATGTTCAAGCACAACTGATTAGGTGCATGTTTTTGAGAGAAATTGAGGGTAGCTCAAAAGATGCAATCCTGATACATGTGAATGGCACCACTTTGCGATTCACCATTCGTGACTTTGCTAAAATATCTGGGTTAAAATGTTCAGACAATGAGAAGGATTTTGTCTTTAATACCGAAGAACCAAACAAGATTATTCTTCAGTATTTTGGAGTTGAAAAAGCCATCACCAAGAGTTAGTTGGTTGAAAAGTTTGATAATAAGGTTTGGGGGGATAATGATGATGATGCGGTGAAGTTTGCTATATTGTTCTATATACATTCATTCATCCTTTCTGAAGAACCAACCACTACTGTTATTGATAGGAAAGACTTTGATTTGGTTGAATCGGGCAGATACATTGACTATCCATGGGGTAAAAAGACTTTTGACCTTCTGATTCTGCATTTGCACACTAAGATCAAACACAATGGGAAGTATTTCAGGTTGTATGGTTTCCCACTTGCTTTGCAAGTGTGGTTTTATGAATGTTGTTCAAATTTTGATGAGGAAATTGCTGTTAATAAGGTATCTCATCACATCCCTAGGATACTTAACTGGAAGACAAATGTATAAATATATATCTGTATAAATATAGTATATATTATACATACATGAAGATTCTTGAATTACCTCCTGAGTATGTTCAATCAGATTCATCTCCAACAGAAACAACAGTTGCAAATGCTTCGGACGATGATTTTCAAGATCCTCCATGTCCAATAAATAACAAGGGAAAAGAAAAAGTTGATACTTGTTTGTCGCCTCCTAAGAAGAAATCAAGGCAGACAGTCACTCCTATTCAGAACAAGACAACACCTAGGGTCATTTCAAAGCAGCCTTGTTTAAGAAAGTCTCCCCGACGTGCCAATGTTGCAAAAAGACCTAAGTCACCACTTCCAAAGAGGCAGGCCAAAAAACATGCTAATGTTCCATCCTATACAGGCATTAAGCAAAATATTGAGATTAAATCAAGTGATGCTTTCGAAATACCATCCACCAGCAAGTCACATGATTTCAGTATATCGCGTGATGAGTTTGATCAATTCAAACTCTCAGTATTTATTTTTTAATTGTTTTATTTATTAAAATTCTTTTTAATTTGTATATTTAGCGTTAAAGTTACCTATATATGTCCAATTTCAGATGGAGAAACAGTTTACTGATTTAAGGAACTTCATTGAAAACAACTTCAAAGTTGTGTTAGATTCTATCAAATCAAAGAATGCGGAAGATAAGGTTTGTTAATATAGATCAATACATATATATTATACATAATTGTGATAAATATACATTTAATATTTTTCTTTCAGGGTGATGGTGTAGAAGTTACAGATAAAGTGCCAGTCGGTGTCGTTCAATCCGAAGAACCTTCTCAACATTTACCTTCTGAATTGAACTATCAATCTGTTTTTAATGATCTAAATGATCAAGAGGCTTTGTTCTTATACACTTGGTCAATCTCCGTGTACTTATTACAAGGATCTGAAATGACTCCATCGCAGCTCCTTGACCCCAAGACACAAAGTGGCTCTACCAATTCACCAATTGACAGCTGTATAATCTCAAAATCAGCAATACCATCATTACAAATTGATGTAACCATATCGTTCTCCTTATTTGAACTTTCACACAGTTCAGTGATATTGCTACTATTATCCATTTTGCTTATACAAATTGGATACTTGTTGAAGTCATCTGCAGCCTTTTTAAACATGATATACACTCTAACACCCATGTCATTGTGAATCAACATTGGCGTTTTGCTTTCTTTAACCTTATACTCAATTTTCAGTTTAATCACATTTGTATCAACACCGAGTTGCATTGCAATAACATTATACAACTCCTTATACGATGAACTTTCTTTAAAAATCACCCCCTCAATTGGATAATCAACGTAACAATTGTCATTGTCCCATCTACCGGAATGCATAACCACAATAGCTAATGAAGCCATTTTCAAAATTTATGTATAAAAAAAAA